TAGCAACAAAAGAGGACTTGGCTACGGGACCCAACACCTAAGTGGGATCCTAAAAGCAAGTACCTCACTCTTCCTGAGAACAAAATCTGCACACACTGTGGGAAGACTGGCCATTACAAAAATGAATGTAATGCAAAAGAAAAGGCCGGTAAAAATAACAAAGCTTTTGTTCAAAAGAAAAACAGGCTACCTGGGTGGGCTAAAAGGAATTTGATATACCCCTTTGCCTATAGAAAAGGACCCAAACTAGTTTGGGTTCCTAAGACTAACCCTTGATTTCTTTTTGCAGGTCCAAGTGAAGGGAAGTAGCCAAATATGGTACATGGATAGTGGCTGCTCAAAACATATGACTGGAAGTAAGAACCAGTTCCTTTCACTTGAAGACTTAAAGGGAGGTAATGTCTCCTTTGGTAATGGGAAGAAATGTGAGATTATTGGGGTTGGAAAGGTAGGTAAGACAGACTCACACTCTATTGAGAATGTCTACTTGATAGTGCTTGAAATACAGCCTGATCAGTGTGTCACAACTGTGTGACAGAGGTAACCTTGTAGCATTCACCTCTACCAAATGCTTTGTGATTAACCTTACCACTGACAAGATTGTTTTGCAGGGAAAAAGAGTTAACAATATTTACATTGTAGATTTGTCTACTCTTTCAGAAAATGAACTCACCTACCTAAGTGTGTTAGATAATGATCCCCTCCTGTGGCACAAAAGACTTGGTCATGCTAGTCTGAATCAGCTAAACAAATTAGTCTCTAAGGACTTGGTGATAGGGCTACCTAACATCAAGTTCAAGGAAGACAAAGTTTGTGAGGCCTGTGCAAGGGGGAAGCAGGTAAGATCATCCTTCAAAAGCAAGAAAATGGTAAGCACAACCAAGACGTTGAAACTGGTCCATATGAATCTATGTGGTCCAGTGAGAACCTTGAGTAGAGGTGGAAAGAAATATGTAATGGTACTTGTTGATGATTATTCTAGATTTACCTGGGTACTATTTTTAACATCTAAAGATGAAGCATTTGACATGTTTACTGCTTTTGTTAGAAAAACTCAGAAACAACTAGGTAATCAACTTACATCCATTAGGTCTGATCATGGAACTGAATTTGAAAATACTAAGTTTGCTGAATTCTGTGATGAGCATGGTATAGATCATAACTTCTCTGTCCCTAGGACTCCTCAACAAAATGGAGTAGTTGAAAGAAAGAATAGGACTCTTGAAGACATGGCTAGGACTATGCTTCTTTCTAGTAAACTGCCCCACAACTTCTGGGCAGAGGCTGTAAACACTGCATATTACATTATCAATAGATGCATGACTAGACCTCTTGTAGAGAAGATTCCTTATGAGTTACTTAAAGGGAGAAAACCAAATATATCCCATCTTAAGGCATTTGGATGCAAGTGCTTTGTGCACAATAATGGAAAGGACTCCCTAGGTAAGTTTGATCCCAGAAGTAATGAGGGAGTATTCTTGGGATATTCTTCACATAGTAAAGCATATAAAATGTTCAATAAAAGAACTTTGTGTGTAGAAGAAAGTGTGCATGTAGTGTTTGATAAAACTAACATTCTTTCTGAGAGACAGGAACATGAAGATGAAGCCATTGGACTGGTAAAGGATTTGACTGAAGTCTCAGCACAAGTTAAAGTGGCACCAAAAGAAGGAACATGTGATGGAACAGGTTCTTCTATCCAGGGCAACCTGACAGGGGGAATTGATCAAAGAGGAATTGAAACTAATCCCCTAAAAGAACCTGTTCATGACCCTGTTCCTCAGCAACAGAACATGGGAGAAATATTTAGCGGAAATCAGTTGGTTGTGAAACCTTACAAGTATCAAAGTTCTTATCGTATTGAGAACATAATCTTTGATCCAACATCTGGAGTCAAAACCAGATCACAATTAAAGAACCTGTGTGCTTTTGATGCTTTCCTATCTCTTATTAAACCTAAAAATATTATTGAGGCTTTGGGAGATACAGATTGGGTGAATGCAATGCAAGATGAACTCAATCAGTTTGAGAGAAGTCAAGTTTGGCATCTTGTTCCAAGACCCAAGGACAGATCATTTATTGGCACAAAATGGGTCTTCAGAAACAAACTTGATGAAGATGGAACAGTTACAATAAACAAGGCAAGACTGGTGGTCCAAGGTTACAGCCAAGAGGAGGGTATAGATTATGATGAGACTTTTGCTCTAGTTGCAAGACTAGAGGCAATAAGACTCCTCATAGCCTTTTCAGCACACATGGAATTCACTCTCCATCAAATGGATGTCAAAAGTGCCTTCCTGAATGGTTACCTGAAAGAAGAAGTGTTTGTGAAACAACCTCCAGGGTTTGAGAGCAAGGAATGTCCTGAGCATGTGTACAAATTAGACAAGGCTCTCTATGGACTCAAGCAGGCTCCTAGAGCATGGTATGAACGACTGTCCAAATTTCTGCTTGAACATGGTTACAAAAAAGGTAAAATTGATAGTACATTATTCTTAAGGGAAAAAGGTAAGGATCTCCTTGTGGTACAAATATATGTTGATGACATAATCTTTGGGGCCACCACTGATAAACTAAGTAAGGATTTTGCAAAATTAATGGGGAGTGAGTTTGAAATGAGTATGATGGGTGAGCTTAACTTTTTCTTAGGCTTACAGATCAAACAAACCCCAAATGGAACCATGGTCCATCAGCAGAAGTATGCGAAAGAGCTGATCAAAAAATTTAAAATGAATGAATCAAAGGAAATAGACACCCCCATTGCAACTGCCATTCATCAGTTGATCAGAAGTTGTATAGGGGTATGATTGATTCACTCTTGTATCTTACTGCAAGCAGACCTGACATCATTTTCAGTGTAGGGTTTTGTGCTCGCTTTCAGGCTAATCCAAAGGAGTCTCACTTGACTGCTATCAAGAGAATACTAAGATATCTGAAAGGCACCACTGATTTGTATATTTGGTATCCCAAAGGTAGTAATTTCAATCTAGTAGGATCTACTGATGCTGATTATGCAGATTTCCCTGTGGATAGGAAAATCACCTCAGGTATGGTTCACTTTCTTGGTTCATGTCTTGTATCATGGGCCACTAAAAAGCAAAATTTAGTGGCCTTATCCACTACTGAGGCTGAGTATATTGCTGCTGCCTCTTGTTGTGCTCAATTGCTATGGATCAAACAGCAGCTAGTAGATTTTGGTATTGAAGTTGGTTGCATTCCTATATTCTGTGATAACACTAGTGCTATAAGTATGACAAAGAACCCTGTTCATCATAAGAGGACTAAGCACATAGATGTTAGACACCACTTCTTGAAAGATAACTATGAGAAATGATTGATCTCCATAGAATTTTGTGCTACTGATAAACAAATTGCTGACATCTTCACTAAAGCACTGAGTAGAGAAAAGTTTGAGAGGAACAGGTTGGAACTAGGGATGATTAAGATCACCTAATAGGTCCAGCTAAGAATGCACAATGAAAAAAAAATTGGCTAGGAATTCTGAACTTATGTAAATATCTAGATTAATTCTTACTCAGCTTCATACTTAAATTAGTATACTCCTGTGACATGTGTTAATATGACTCACTGATCTCTTACAAAAAAAATTCTATTATGGCATTTGAGGCATGTTCAAGAGAGTTCTAATGAAGAACCTGGTTCATCAGTATAGAATCATATGAAAGCTAAGGTATGTTTTCTATACTCTGCACAATTAGAAAGATTAATATTTCAATCATGAGCAAAAGTCCATAATTGTTCAATTCCTAGAAAATTCTACCCGTTAGCATTGAACCAATTCCGTTTGCCTAGAACTCTAAACCAAAAATTTTGCCTAAAATCTAGGGAAGATAAACCGATCATTCCAAATCAGAAATTTAAGGTTGATTAGACCTCTAATTGACCATTGTTAAAAAGCTGCCGTTACCTATTAAATGTGTATTTCTCTTTAAATACACATCACCTCCCTGCCATCTTAATAATTTCAAACCGTCAAAAATTCTTCTTCACCCTCACTTGCCTTCTTCTTCATAACTCTAATTCCCAAATTCTCTCAAGAAATCAACGATCATGTCTAACCCACAAGACAATCCTGGAACTCCTCCACCACCATCTCTCTCAAATTCATCCTCAACTACTCCACCCAGTGCATCTCCAAAACCTAGACTACGAAGGATAAAAATGCTTGCTCGAAAGACTGTAGCGTCTGGGGCTCTGAGGAAGGCATTAAATGAGAGGTTGAAAGCAAGCCTAGCTCAAAACTCCGACTCTAGTTCTGATTCTGGATCCTATCAATCCGCTACTGAGGGGGATGGACATAGGTCTTCTGATTCTAAAAAGACTCAAGAATCCCGTTCTAAGGTAGATTCATCTGTGACTGAAAACCTAGAGACTAGGTTTGTTCTGGTTGGACCCATTAGGGATGTTGAATTGCCTGAGAAATGAAGGAGTGGAGGTAAAAAGAATTTTGAAAAAGAAAAAGAGAGAGAGGGTGCATGTGGTGAAGAGAGGGGAATTGGGAAGGGAGTAGTGCCTGCTATCTGTGGGGTTGAACAAAAAGGGGTAGAAGAGAGTGGCATGAAGTCAGGGGGAAGTGGATCTGGCGAAGCTGCTGAGGGGTTGGTTCATTTGAGCACACAAAGAGATGAACCTGTTTCATCTGCTGAAGAAACCCTAGCAGACCTGCTGAAAAAGGTTGGGGCAAGTTATGACCCAAAGAAACGCAGAACTCCCAAAACAAAAGCCCCAAATGTTCCTAAGCCTTCCAAGAAAAGAAAGGCTTCATCCCCAACACCTACTGCCTCTTCATTGCCAAAGGGTAGAGCCACAAGAAGCAGGGTGAAACAGAGTGAAGCTGAGCTACAAAGGGCTTTAGCTGAAAGTAAGAAAAAGAAAATGATTCTGAGAAGGAACAGGACAAGCTTGCCATGTTTGGCAAAAGAAAGATTTTAAAGGGTAGACTGCTGAAAGACCTGGTGGAACCAAGTATGATGAGATTGATGGATGCCTTAGCTGCTCAGGGATGGAAGGACATGGTCCTTCAGATGGATGGTAAACTAGCAAGAAATGAGCTAATTGAATTTATGGCAAATGTTGTGGTTAAGAAGGCAATTGTTAATAGCATGGTGAAAGGAGTCCAAGTGCAGTTTGATGCAAAGAAACTGGGAGAGATCCTGGACATACCCTCTGAAGGGTTTGATGACTATACAAGGCAAAGGTGGCCATGCCTGGACTCCCTCCCTACTGCTCTTGAGATCACCAGGAGGTTTTATGATTCAGAAGATGTGAATGAAGCCAGGGCTATGTAGAAAAGTGAAATGAGGCCTGAGCACAAGGTCTTGTTTGAATTTGTCAACAAGTGCTTATTGCCCAGACAGGAGAGAAGGCACACTGCTAATTACATGGATCTAGTTCTTATGGAGTGCCTGGAGAGAGGAAAGCAAATCAACTGGCCTACCTTCATTATCAAGCTGCTAAACAGGGTCA